GATTACCATTATGCATTAAAATGTAGGTTGAATACTAAACTAGTATGTTATTTTTAAACTGTAGTGATAATGCATTATTTTTATTGCCAATATTAATTTGAAACAAGGCAGCTATGATTATAAAGTCTTTAAACATGCTCTTAAATAGGACCCCATTATGTAATTTAAACTTCACAATTTAACAGGCTGGCTCTGGAGAAGACCCCAGGTGGTTCGCAGTGCTAAACAGCAGATTAAAGTTGACACAACTAATTTCTTTAATCTTATTAGTGATTCAACAGCTGTCAACTATAACCATCTCTCCAAAAAAGACTTTGAGACATAAACAAAATATCTTAGTACATCAATTGAAGAAATGAATTTATTAATCACTATGCCTAACTAGCTTCAAAAATATTTTATTTTGTCTACCAAAGCAAGTAACTTTTTAAAATAACATCAATTATATTTATAAATTTAAATAATTTTTATTTTTCTAATACTTTAATTATTGACCTTGTATATACATAAATATAATAGTCCTATATATAAGCATAAAATTATTTAACAGTAAGTTACATTCTTAATCTCTTCCAGACTGGTGAATAGTATTTTGTTAGCATTACTGAGGGTCTATGATATAGTGAACACAGTAGGATGGGACATGATCCAACCCCGTGAAAAGCTACATCTGGACTTAGGAGAAGGAAATTCTATAGAATTTATCGTATTCTACCTAAAATCTATCCTAAAAAAAGACAATACTCAGAAATATTGCATTTCTTTTTCTGAATATAACTGTTATGTTTCTCCTGAACATTATGCCTTCTTCACACAAACAGTTACAAGTGATTCTGGTTCACAGATGTACCTTCTAGGTGAAAAAAATGACGGCCACACACTATCTCCCACATCCAACATCCATACTCAGCTACAAAAAGCATAAGCTAAAACCAATCAAACAGTGGTCTTCCCACAAAATGTGAAAAGCAACAACACAACCTCTGCAACTCACACAGCTCATTGCAGTTAAAAAAATATCCCATAAATCAGTTTTCATCTTACTAAAGCAGTAAATGTTTACATTACACAGTAGTATACATATACAATATAGCAGTACAGTTAGCACTCACTGCCCCTGATAAATACTAGCTTTACATCCTCAGATACTAATGGTTAAAATGCACCAGTCTTTTCTGCTTTGTTGTATGATGTGATACAGAACATATTTATTAGTTTCATATTCTCCATAGTGGTAAAAAGGTTTTTTTTAATGACAGAAGTCATACAGATCTCAGAATAAAAGAAAATTCAACAAATACAGGTTGATAAAGTTATTCTTTGGTGACATAAGGCCGGCAATAAGGTACAGAAATAAGAGAATGTGACAGTTTCAGTTCAGCTAATGTGATGGTGGGGAGGAAGCCATGCTTTTTTAAAACTCTAGTTTATCTTCATAAACTGATTATGTGACAGCCCCACATGGAAAGCAGTGCCTTGACGCAGAGAGGGTTTCCAACGTTGCAGCACGGCAGGCAGCCCTCATCACAACGCATGCGCCCCGTCTCCTGTATGCCCTGCTCCTAGCTCTGCAGGAGTACTCTCCCGTAGCAGTCTGGCACACAGCTGAGCAATTGCCCCTCAGTGCATAAAATGTGTCTTTCAAGTTTGAGAGAGGATTAAACAATAGTGTGGTACTCTGAAAGCCTGTGTCTACTGCTTGAGCATGCTGTTTTAGGGAGATGGATAATATGGTTTCCTTGAGATGAACAGAATTGTAATTAAAAAAAAAAGCCTGTCCAGAAATGGTGTAAAGCAGTTATTTACTCTTTTTGTTAAATGCTGCAGAATTTTACTCCTTTCATTAAACGTTGTCTTATAAAATATGGTACCTATTTTTTAGTTGTTAAAACTACAGCTAATTATAATAAATACATTAACGCACAAGAAGAGCTTCATGCTGTAGCGGCAAAAAAAGAAAAACAAGTTTCGAGCTGAATTACACCGCTAGGATTTGAGGTGAGAACATGAGGAGAGGAAAAGAAGCACACGTGGATAACTTCTCTGTGATCCTTTGACCTTTGAACACCTTAACTTTACCTTCAAATTAGGCAATTAGCTTCTAGTGTCATATAAGTAATTGGTTAAATGATTAAATTTCTCATGAAGACACTTGGTTTTTAATAAGATAGTGGGATACAATCTAGTCCACTGTGATCAAGTTTAGACAGGAAACTCTGGGGATATATATATTTCAATTGTTTATAAATATAAACAATGCTCTTGAGAGCTAAACTAAGCCCAAATTCTAAAACGAAGAATGAGGAACTCGTAATTAAAGAATAAAGAAGTTGGAAAGTGCCACAATCTATTCTGATGGAACTCATGCTCTAAGAACTGTACTATCATATAGTTTTTACCTTTGACTCTGAAGGCATGCCACTCTTGAATGTGTTTATCTTAGTGTTTGGGGACAGTAAGCTCAATGTAGGTCATGTTTATATTGGTTTTCAAATTGGAATTGATTAGCAGAAAATGGAAGTTCAACTAGTCTCAGCTTCTCAGAGGAACATTCATTAGTTCTCACTGAATGTTTAAATACTCCCTGGACCAACTTTCTCTCTTTATTACTGATTTCAACAATGAACATTCATCCAGTCTTCTTTTGCATGAGAGACTTTGAAGAATTAACTATGGATTTGCAAGGAAGGCTCTATGCCACAACCCAGTATTTTCAATCCAATCTACAATTAAAAGAATCTTTAGTACTTATATTTAAAAAGTATCAGGCTCATTTGGCTGGGAAGCAAAGAAACTCAAGATACTGCAAATGAGAAGAGTAATAAGAACATCCTGAAATGACCACCAGTCCTGCTCCCATGATGGGGAAACAAGCCAGAGACTAGAAGAAATCAGCCTGGGACCATGGGCTGCAGTCTGGAGTGAGCCTGAGACAGAAGACTCTATTGGGTCCACTTGGGCCCCACACAACAGCCAGACTGGCACCATAGGGCCTAGGCAGAGAGCTAGCATAAGATGACCACCACTCTGGTGCCACAAAGACCTGGGGGGCAGACCATGCCCGAGATGAAACCTGCTTGGTGCCAATACATAAGCAGGGCATAGTACTCCTGAGACCACTCCAGACTCTCAGGGACTCTAGGCACCAATAAAAGGAGCAAGTAAGTGGTGGAGAAATGGAAAAGAAAAGGAAACAGAAGGATGAAGGCATAACTGGGGGTAGTGAGAAACAGCCTGCAACAGCAGGAATCTGTTACCATCAAAGGCCA